TGAGTTACTGTGTACCACAGGCCCAGAGCAACAAAGCACGGACTGAAACCTCTGAAAACATAAACCAAAATAAACCATTCCTCCTTACAGCTTTATTAATCTTGGGTATTTTTTTCAGAGACAAAAAGCTGAGTAACAATAGATCTTTATTGTACTTTCATGTTTCATTAATGCTTTTGTTAACTTTTTCCTTAATATCTTTTTTTTATTTTATTCTCACTTGAAGTATAAAACGCATACATAAATTCACTCAAATTTTAAGTATATATAGTTCAATGAATTAACACAAAGCTCACAAATCTGCGCAACTGTCATCTAGACCAAGATATAAAACTTCCCAGTGCCCTAGAAACTCCCTTATGCTTCCTCCCCAGCACCAATCCCTTTTTCTTCCTCAAAAATAATTACCTTCTACTTATAGCACTATAAGAAAGTAGCTTTGCTGGATTTTGAAATATAAATGGGCTCATTTATATTTTTTTAATAGCTGGCTTCTTTCACTCGGCACTGTCTGTGATCTCCATCCTTGTTGGAGCATGAAGCTTCATTACACATCATTCCCATGCATAATTATAAACTATCATGTATTATACATCATTATAAAAATACATCACAACTTGTATATCCATAAATATTTGTAACCAAAATGTTAAAATATATTTGGGTCTCTGGTTTATTACTATTGATAATGATATTAATATAAATATTCTCATACCTGTCTTTTACACATAGTCCTGAAAGTGAGATTTTTGAAAAGAGAGAACATAAATGTTAAACTTTACTACATACTAAAAAACAGCTTTAAAAGTTTTGTAGCAATTTATAGCCTCACTGGCAGCATATAAAGGACAAGTCATAATTAGAATTTTTAAGTTAGATTTCTTAAAGCAAAGCTAATCACTTAGTCTCCTTGCTTTGCTTGTAAATTAGAGCAGCATTATACTTAGAAAGGCATAAAAATATAAGGGTTACATTATGAAAGTAGAATGTCCATGTAGGCTGGTCAGTTGAGAACCATTCCTCCTCCACACTTCTCATTCAGTTCTACTGCATGGTCAGTGTTCTGATAACATCGACCAAGTGAGAAACTGGTCGAACTTGAAAGAACCTAAGAGATTCCAGTTGAGCCACATAGAGATATAGAGATAGATAGACTAGATCATCTTTCAATCTTAACTGTCAACAAATTAACCTACATCCCTCCATGAACAGCTTTAGAAAAGTACTCTTAAATTATAAATTTTCCTGGGACTTAATGTTCCTCCAAGTTCTTTCAGGACCCACCCATGTTCAACCACAAGATTTTGGAAGTTACTAACCATTCTGTATTTCTCAATACATAATTTATATTCCATACTGCATTTTTAGTATCATAATATCACCCCAAATTTTACAAGTCAGAAAGTAAAAACAAATTACTATCAAAAGGTAATAAAACATTCTTCATCAAGTAATTCAGAATATGGCGGAATAATTATAACTGAATTAGCTAGGAAAAGAGTATTTGAAAAATCCTACCAAATAAAGTCGAAATCAGTCAGGAATGTCTTGCACTATGTAAATGTTAGGTTTCTGATTGAAACAAGAAGGAAAAAATGGAAAGGTATACACTGATTTAAGCTTTAGGATTTTCAGTAGTTAATAAAAGACCTACAATATGAAGGTACTTTGTGCCTTCAAATCTTTCACCTATGAACAAACGATGAGCATCACTCGGTGAGAAAGAGAAGACTTTACCTGCTGATATAACAGCGATGTTTGCTTCTTTCCATAGAGGGTTATATGACTCTAGAGATGAGATCTACTATGGGAAGTATGCAAAATCAGAACTGGAGATGAATTAAAGAGCAAAATAAAAGATAGGCAGTAAGAAATAGGAAGATAGGTCTTTGCAGGTGGGAAGGGGACTGAGAGATGTGGGTGTTAAAAAGAATGGAGGTGCGTTATGCGCATTAAGCAGCTCCCCACAATGGCTGTACATTATGTACTGCGAACACGTACTAAGAAAAAAAGAGCACAGAGTTCCCACAAATAAGTTCATTTGTCCAGCACAGTGTTACTTTAGAATATAAATCTGTTACAAACATAAAAGGATATTTCAGATTTTTAAACAGCGGTATGGGAAATTTCCTCTCATAATCATATTTACCAATTTGACAGTATTCTGCAATGTAAAAAGCACTTTGATGCAGTGTATCTCAGTTGATTCTAAAGATGATATGGACAGAATATGCTCACATATTGTCTGTTTTATAAAATTACAAGGTTCAAAAAGGTTAAGTGAAACTCAGGGTTGTTCTATGATTGGAATCGATGAAACGATTGCCTTATTTTCGGTTCTCAGCTTAAGTGTTCCATGGAGCAATTTTGGTTTTCCATTGACAAACTAAAGCCAGTGACTATTTGAAAACAATCAACCTGAGGGTGTGAACATCAATTGCTGCATTTAGTGAGATTGATATAATTTTTAAAATACTATATCCTATTCTTTTTTTTATATCCTTTTGGCGGGGTTCCGGGGATCAAACTCAGAACTTCCCACTTACAAGGCAGGCGGTGATACCACTGAGCCAAATCTCTGGTCCTCTATCCTTGTTTTCTACATTCACTACAGACATATAAATATAATGTCAGATAACAGAGAAGGTACCTCCACACCACTGGTGGTTTTTTCCAACTAGTACGAACAGAACAGATTAATGTAATGATAAAGAAATGAGAGAAGCACATAGAGATCTTGGATTGGACTGTGACATTCAAAATCACCTGGGAAGCAGTGGACAGGAAAACCAAGGAAGGATTGAGGATTAAAGGTAAAAAGCAGAAAGCAGGATCTTTTCTTTAGCCAAAGCAAAGCTCTAAGCAGGCCAGCTTTGAGAAGTTATATAAGCAGTGGCTGAATTAAATATATTGAGCAATGTTGTATATCCTATCACGAAAGCCATTGTTGAAATTTAAGCCCTATAGGGAGCAGTAGATTCTTTAACATGACAAGGCAATGTACATGAAATATTTTCCTTTTGAAATCTCTATTACATTCCCACAGCTAGTTTGTAGTTTAGTGCAAAGGTTTGTGTAGCCTCTACAGGAACTAATGTCCCTTCCAACTTGCCTCACATGGTGAATCGTTCCCCAGTGCCAAAACTCCTCTGAAAGATAAAGAAATCATTACAAATAATTTAGTGTCTTTCACCTGTCTCACATATACACACACACACACACACACACACACAGAGTCACACACACACACAGTCACACACACACACAGTCACACACCACACACACACAAAGACAGAGAGAGAGGAGAGATGGGGGAGAGAGTGAGAGCGAGAGAGAATAAGGCTTTTACTTAATGAAAACTTGTCCAATGGTAAGAGCAGTAAAGCTTATGCTGAAATATAATTACTGATCTTCAATTAAAGAAAAGAAAACTAGATGCAGCCTAGCTGAGCACACTATTTTAAAAGACCAACTTACTGACTTACCTCCAAAAATTTCTCCACATAAATTGTCAAACTTGTTGGACATGAGCAACTTTCCAATTTCAATAAAAATAAACAGTGCTGATTGTGTCCTGACAACTTATCAACAAGTAATGTTCTTGTAAAAACTTTTGCAGTTGGTAAACCTGATATAAGACATTGGATTCCTGAAATATTTGTTCTATTCTTAATCCTTCTGTCATTTTTTTCACAAATGCGATGGCAGAGAACATATCAATCTTGTTCAGACTCCTAATCCCTGTGCCTAGCATTTTGTAAATATTCACGAGGAAAGAAAAACAGCAAGGGAAGGAAAGAGGAGAAATATAGAGAACAAGCAGTACTATACTGAGGAAGTTCTGTCATGAGTTTGCTAGTTAATGACATCAAGGCAAAGACTGGATTCAATTGTTTTAATTTAATCATAGTTCTTTGAAAATCACAACAACACAGCAGACAATAGACCCGTGCTTATAAAACATGAGTGTATGTAATATGCCTCAAAAATTTGCAATATTGTCTACTACTTTTCATATTTCTCTGTGCTGTTTGTAATCAACTACAAAACACCATTAGCAGCAGAGCTTCTATGAAAGCAACATGTAACTTTATGAAAAAAATATATAACGTGTTGTTACATGTCAAATTATTGCTGATCTTTTCACTGCATGAAGGTTATCTTCGCAATTTAATACAAATTTCCTTTACTTTGTTCCCCTTCTCAAGATCATCTCTGTACATTTGTTACTTGTTATCTTTCTTTCAAAGGAAACCATGTAAATTTCATGCAAGGAAAATTCTTTTACTTCATCTTCTAAGGTTCCTTCTGAGACTTGATTTCATCAAGACTTTTCTTTTGCCATAATTTCAGTCTCTTCCTCTTCAAACTTGTTTTTCCTTTCGTATCCTTTGTATCAGTCAGTGCTCACTAAAGAAACAGATTTATTGCAAGAGATATAAATATATAATAATTTGCAAGGCAGGTTTACAATGGCTGCCCATTGAGTCAGGTGTAGAAGAGGGCAAAAGGGCTGCCTACATGCTGGAGATCTGAAGGATCCAGTCGAAGATCAAAGGCCTGGAGCTCATGCTAGTGTCCCACAATGAGTCCATATCGGGAGGCTGAAGGGTCTGTGATGGAAACAAGGAGACAATGTCCAAAGTGAAAGTGGAGGCTGGAGCTCTACCAAAAAAGCATAAAGGAACCTTCCTTCTTCATTTCCTTTTTATTCCATTCAGGCAGCAGCTGCCTACTGATTTATGCCTCCTACATCCAGAGTGGGACTTCCATTATGCACATCCAGAACCATGCTAAACCAATTTAGCTATCTCACACTCTAACCCAGCATCACACACTCATGATCCAGCTACCTCCCGAAAGCCCCACAAACGAGTGCATGAGGCTTTGGGAGGATATCTAGATACTAGCCGTAACACCCTTTACCTCACTGATCGAAATTCAGAGTTATGTTGCAGTCAGATCCAAAAGTTCAGACAGTTACCTCAACAGCACCCCCACGTCTCTCTCACACACACTTTGTCTCTCTGTTTCTCTCTGTCTCTCCCTCTCCCTCTCTCGCTCCTTCTTGTATGTTTGTGTCTTCACTGTCTTCACAGAGAGAATTCTGCAAAGGAAAAAAGATACAGCACAGAAAATAAATGTAACAGTCATCATGTTTACAATACAATTAGCTTCCTGTAACTGTAAAACTTTCTTTTCCTCAACAGTATTTTTCTCTTGTGGCAATAATTTCTTTAATAACTCCTAAGTTTGCAGCTGAGGAATGTGGTCATGACTGCTCAAGTATCATCCCATATCTGTTACCCCTGAAAACTAGCTTCCAAGCCACTCTCTCAAAAGTCATCAATGCTGTCTTCTGCCTCATCTCCTGCCTCTGGATGGAATTCGGTACAATTTATCAGTCCTTTCTTCAAATACTTTTTTCCTAAAAGTTCCATGACGTTCCAATAGCCTCCTCTGCTTACCTCTATTTTTTATTTCTCATTCCCTAATGATATAAGTATCCAAGACCTGTGTTTGTCCTTCCTCCTTTCATTCTCTCTTGGTAGGAGGATAGGGCCGGGGGATTTAGCTCAGTGGATCTGCTGCCTGCCTCACAAGCACAAGGACCCAAGTTCGATCCCTGGTACCAAAAAAAAAAAAAAA